CACCAAACGCATCCCGGGTTCCACGAGTTCCAAAGTTGGAAGAAAATCATCGACATATTTTCCCAGTTATATACATGGGCCAGGAATGAGGAAACAGAAAGGAAAGACATGATCGAAGGGAAATGCCTTTATATTCATTAACACAACATAACGATGTGAGAACAGACAATTTGCGCAAGGAATAAACACGGTCCAAGCGCTCGTGAATACGGAGGTTCTGACAAGCAAACAGAGCTGGGAATCTCCCGGGCAGTTTTGCGGTACGCGCATGCACATAGTACTGGTCAGTGAGTGAGGTATTAACCGTTTCTCCTCGAACTGCTTGAGTTTGTAAAGGCCGGATATGCGCTGAGCTGCGGCAGGCTCGCAGCAGGGCCATGAGGTAATCGAATCCACGGAAGCTATTGGCACAGGCAGGCGATCGACAAATACCGGGAGAGCATCCAAGCAGGGATGGAGGAGGGCAATAAACTTAAAAGATATAGGCAAAAGCCGTTGTTGGTCTTAGTATACCCCGATTGCCTGCAGTAAATCACTTCAAGCTCATGCTTGTTCTCGAAAGGGTTTGATACATTGTAGAGGACGACTGCTAGTACCCTGCCTTTGCGGGCAAATACTAGCAGGGGACATAGCCAACAGAAAGCAAATACGTGAAGCCAAGGTGAAGCTGAGGTTGTTGTCGAAGCTCTGTTGTTGGAGAGTTGTTGTAGGAAGATCCAGCCACGGATGGGAAGCTGCCTGCCGCAACACGTGACGCTGCTCCGACCACAGTGTCCTGAGTGCCTTAGCGCGGCCCGATCGAGCCTCAACCCTAGAACTTCCTCCTCGTTCCTCCTTGTCGTCCACATCCTCGCTCTCCCAACAGCGCTGCTCCTGTCTCTCTCATCCCTCTCTGCCTCTCTCTGCCTCTCTGCCCGTCATCCCTCTTCCTTTCTTTCTCTTCTTCCCATCTCCTTCTTTCTTTTTTTTTCTTTTGTTGCTGTTGTTTTCTACTTTAGTTTCATAATCTAGCCTCCTGGTCCTCTTTTTCCCGTTCCTTTCATCCTCCTTACTCTTAATTCGAAGGTCAAACGAGCACAAAACCGTCACAATGAGTGGCCGTGAGTATCCCTGCCACATATACCGGAATATGCCACGATTGCAGTTCATTCTGTCTCGGATTACTAATTAATACTAATAACAACAGTACGCTTCCTCGACTTGATCAAGCCCTTCACACCCCTCCTCCCGGAGGTGGCATCCCCCGAAACCAAGGTGCCATTCAACCAGAAGTTGATGTGGACAGGCGTACGTTGTTTCATCCTGCCGTTGCGCGCGATCGCATGGGTCTCTCCGCGTACTAATTCGATGGCGCATAGTTAACTCTACTTATATTCTTGGTGATGAGCCAAATGCCGCTCTATGGCATTGTTTCATCGGATACCTCCGATCCGCTCTACTGGCTCCGCATGATGCTGGCCAGTAACCGTGGTACTCTGATGGAGTTGGGTATTACTCCCATTATCTCCTCCGGCATGGTTTTCCAAGTATGACTCTTTTTTTTTTTTTTTTGTCAATTGAAAGGCTGTCTGGTCCTCTCGTATCTTGACATTTTTACTAACAACAACTTGCTTAGCTTCTTGCCGGAACCCACCTGATCGATGTTAACCTTGACCTCAAAACCGATCGCGAACTCTACCAGACCGCCCAGAAACTTTTCGCAATCATCCTGTCTTTTGGACAGGCATGTGTGTATGTCCTTACCGGTCTCTACGGCCAACCCAGTGACCTTGGTGCTGGTGTCTGTGTTCTATTGATCGTTCAGTTGGTTGTTGCTGGTCTTGTTGTCATCCTGCTGGATGAACTTCTTCAGAAGGGATATGGTCTTGGCAGCGGTATTTCACTTTTCATCGCAACCAACATTTGCGAGTCGATTATCTGGAAGGCGTTTTCCCCTACCACCATCAACACTGGACGTGGTCCGGAATTTGAAGGAGCCGTCATCGCCCTGTTCCACTTGCTGCTCACCTGGTCAGACAAGCAGCGTGCCCTCCATGAAGCATTCTACCGCCAGAATCTGCCCAATATCATGAACCTCCTTGCGACTCTCCTTGTGTTTGCAACCGTCATCTACCTCCAAGGTTTCCGCGTCGAGATCCCTGTAAAATCTTCCCGCCAGCGTGGCATGCGCGGTTCTTACCCCATTCGCCTCTTCTACACCTCAAACATGCCAATTATGCTTCAGTCCGCCCTTTGCTCAAACATTTTCCTGATCAGCCAGATGCTCTACTCTCGTTTCTCGGATAACCTTCTTGTCAAGCTCCTCGGCGTCTGGGAACCACGTGAGGGTGGATCGGCTCAACTCTATGCTTCCTCTGGAATTGCCTACTATATGTCTCCCCCGCTTAACTTCAAGGAGGCTCTCTTGGATCCCATCCACACCGCTGTATACATCAGTTTCATGCTGGTTGCTTGTGCTTTATTCTCCAAGACCTGGATTGAAGTTTCCGGCTCCGCTCCCCGCGATGTCGCCAAGCAGCTGAAGGACCAGGGACTTGTAATGGCCGGACATCGTGAGCAGAGCATGTACAAGGAACTCAAGCGTGTAATCCCTACGGCAGCTGCCTTCGGTGGTGCCTGTATTGGAGCCTTGTCTGTGGCTAGTGATTTGCTTGGAGCCCTTGGAAGCGGAACTGGTATCTTGTTGGCTGTCACGTAGGTCTTTTGAATTTCTTTTTTCTACTCATCGCATTCCCGGTTTTCACTAATGTTTTTATAGTATCATCTACGGATATTTCGAAATAGCAGCTCGAGAAGGCGACTTCGGTGCTGGCCTGAAAGGTTTAGTGCCCGGAAACTAAACGAGTCTCGTTTTGTGACGATTCGGGGAGTTAATTTTCCCGCCCTGTCTTAATATATGCTCATTATCTTTATTTTATTTTATTTTTTGTTTTCGCTTCAGTTGCATGGCTGGGATACTTACTCTTTTCTTGTGACTTATCACATCTGTTAAACCTTTGAGCAGGGTATTCAGAAAAGCCTAGGTGATGGGGAGTCAGGCGATGTTTGGGATTCTTCCCCGGAATGTGTTTAGGTATGTATACCTGAGCAGAAAAGAAAACCAGAATGCCGTATTTGAAACCAAAAAAATTTTTTTCTTGTCGCCGAACTTCTTGGATCCCCATTGTTTTTCTTCGCATATCTCTTATTTACATATTTGCCACGTCCATTTTCTTGAGGTAACATGGATGTACTGGCTGGGTGGGAGAAAAATCACAAAAACATTAGAGCGGCCTCATTTTTTGCGAAACGAGAGGAGGGAGAGAAAAAACTAAAGAAAAAGGAAAACCCCCAAGTGTATATATATACTTCGAAATGCCTGCTTTATACCTATTTAACTGCGAGTATCATGATATTTCACAACCCGAGCGCCTTTCTCAAATCGTGACTTGAAAAGCGAATATGGCGCCATATATTGTTTTTCTTAAACCAAAATATTCTGCCTCACGGTCGTAAGTCAGAAATCAAACCAAACCTATCCAGAAAGCAATTCAACAATAAACCACAAAAATTTTTCGATATATATCTATATATTTATCTATAAAGGGCTTCCCCCGCAACTATCCCTTTCATCTCTTCGATTTCATGTCCTATAATCCCCATTGATAGTCACATACTCATGACTAAAATCGCAAACCAATACAACCCCTCCTCCCCCCCCAAGTCCCTTCTCCCCCTTTTGCCGGCACCAGATCAACACTATCTCCAAATCCTCATCTGCAAGATCTTCGCGCCGGCTCTCATTCCACGCCTTCCGCTCCCCATTAACAAGCAACTTCAATTCCGCACTACCATCAACCGGCCTAAAGCTCACGCTCGTCCGCTCAGGAACCACCGTCCCCTCCGCAATCCCCTGTGCATACCCGATCGCGCACAGGATGCGCCCCCAATTCGCATCCTTGCCGTACAGCGCCGTCTTGACCAGCGGCGACCGCGCGATCGTCGACGCAATCACCTTCGCGTCAGCGTGCGATGGCGAATTGCACACGCGCACCATGATGAATTTCGTCGCGCCTTCGCCGTCGCGCACGACCAGTTGCGCGAGCGATTGCGCGAAGCTGGTCAGGATGGTTTGCATGGCGGCGTAATCTGGGGAGGATGTGGTGGTGATTGCCTCGCCGCCTGCGGCGCCGTTGGCGAGGAGGGCGATGGTGTCGTTGGTGCTTGTGTCGCCATCTATGGAGATGGCGTTGAAGGAGCGGGAGACGGCATGGGTCAGGAGGGCTTTCAGGGCGGAGGGACTGATGGGGACGTCGGTGCAGAGGATGCCGAGGAGGGTGGCCATGTTCGGGTGGATCATGCCGGCGCCTTTGGTCATGCCTGCTAAGCAGTACTGGCGGTTTGGGGAGGAGGGGAGGGTGAAGGGGCGTGACAGGAGCTTGGGGAAGGTGTCTGTTGTGCAGATTGCGCGGGCGGTGGCGAGCCAGGTTGAGTGTGTTGAAGCCAGATTCGAATGGGCGGTTGGAATGGCATCGAGGATTTTCTTGATTGGGAGGCTGGGAAATTGATATGTAAGTTTCTTGCAATGCAGGCAATAAAAATATCGGCTACAACGGCGTAGAGAGATTGGGCTTACCGTTGGCCAATAACTCCGGTACTCATGACGAGAGTGCTGGTATCCTGTGGCCCAGTTGACGGTGTGCCGTTGCACTCGTCAACTTTGGCGCTCATCATTTTGGCATGTTCTAGCCCTCCCTTCCCTGTGACGGCATTGGCACAGCCAGAGTTAATCACCACGCCCCGTATGCCCGCACCCTGCCTCTTTTCCAGTACCTGCTTGCTCACCTGAACAGGGGCCGCTTGAAATTTGTTTGTCGTAAAAACCGCAGCTGCTGAACATGGCGTTTCAGAGCATATCAGGGCAACATCGGGAAACTGTGTGTTTGACTCCTTAACGCCGGCATGGGCGCAAGCAACCAAGAAGCCTTTAGGGTATGTCCCCGAACTAGGAATAAATTTTCGCTTGGATGCCGGTATGGACACATCATTTGGAATGGAGTAATATCTGGCCTGGCCAAGGCTGCTTTTGTGCAAACGGACGAAGCCAGCCACGACACCGAAGGGCTTCGGATTTTTCATGGTTCTGCTATTCGGCTTGATGCACAACCAGTGAGATTTGCACCTAAAACAGTGTATGCAACTGTTTTAGAAAATATATAAGTGATTCAATATGCTAAATGCTGCAATTCCCAAGAGGCCAAGCTCAATATGCACTTTGAAACTCGCCAATTGTAACAATAGCAGAATGTAGAACACCAGCGCAGGAGGACGTGTGAGGGTTCTGGCAACCTGAGCCCTCAATGGACGCTCTGACACTTGAAAACAACCGAAACACCGCGAGTCGATCCAATTAACTTACCGGCTCTTAAATTCCTTTCCCGCTATGACTCATATGTGTTGGAGTCGAACTTTTGCGGCTTGCGATACTCAGAAACTTGCTGGCGTCGAATGGCTCTGGTTGGTTGGATTGATCGAGTTAGGCTGGTCACGTGGTTGGCTGAAGCTTTCCGCTTTTGTTTCCAATCAATCTATCCATCCTCAGCTTCTTCTTACCAGCTTAACGTGCTTACTTCTACTCTCTGTGGCCATGTGAATACCTACTTGCCTTTTTTCTTATTCCCATGGCCTCTGGCTACAATGAAACGCAAGCAACCAGGTTCTTCGAAAGGGGACAGCTCACTTGATTCTACGCCGCGAAAGCGAAGGACCACCGATCCTAAGTCGACCCTGAAAGACGAAGCCACTGCAGGCATACCAGGGACACCTTCGAGAAATCCTCCTTCCACGAGCAATGGATTCAGGGCCAAACTTACCCGTCATCTGAATACCCCAACCAAAGATTCCCCGACTTCAAAGGCGCAATCCGGACCGTTATTCGCAACACCAACAAAAGCTACTGGAAAAAAATCCGTGCATCCTTCTCCTTCCATAACAAGAAATGCTGATCGCTCAGCGAAGCGAAAAAGTGCGCGCGTACTTCTAGAACAAAATGATGAGGATGATTGGGACGGTGCAGATAAATTAGCGCAAGCGATCTTGGAATCAGGGGATGATGACGAGGCTGAGAAAATCAAAGAGCGAGGAGCGAATAGAGCAAATAATGCTGGAAAAGCTGAACCTACCCCGAAGCGCCGCGCTGGGCGCCCCAAGGGCGCGAAGAATCGACGATCCCCTACTCCTGAGGGAGATCTCCCACCGCATGAACGGTACTTCTTTCAAAATCGACCGGGACCGGTACAAACTTCTAATAATACGCTTGCGAAGCTATCCCTTTTGGATCATGAGGAGTATTTTGAGCGGATGAACAAATTTGTGGATCCACACCAAAAGGAAAAAGATTTTTTACTTGAACTTCATGAACACTCCTTTCCACAATGGGCATTTGAGCTGAGCGAGGGATTTAATATATGCATATATGGATACGGTTCAAAAAGGCGGCTCGTTAATCGATTTGCAGAATGGCTGTCCCAACGGCACAGTGATCAACCAACGATTGTAATTGTGAATGGCTATGTATCTAGCACGACGATACGGTCCATTCTTTCGACGGTAATTAGAGCAATCCTCGGGCCTGATACACCGTCAAAACTTGGCACGCAGCCTTCAGAGGTATTGGAGCTACTCCAATCCATCCTACATAATAATCCACTGCAGCACCCTATAATGGTCTTTATAAATTCCATCGATGCACCACACCTACGGCGTCCTTCTCACCAGGCCCTGTTAGCGCGTCTTGCTAGTATACCTCTGATCAATATGCTAGCCACAGCTGACACACCCAACTTCCCTTTGCTGTGGGATGTAAGCCATCGTGATCAATTCAATTTTGTATTCCACGACTGCACAACCTTCACACCGTATGATGTGGAATTAAACGTCGTTGACGAGGTAAATAGCCTTCTCGGACACCAGGTACGCCGAATCGGCGGTAAAGACGGAGTCAACTTCGTCCTGAAAAGTCTTCCAGAAAACACGCGGAAACTCTATCGCTTATTGGTGACGGAGATCCTCACACTGCTAGGGGAGCACCAGCTTTCTGACGACGAGGAGAATGGTGATGGAGGCATGAAGAAAGATGGGGACACCAACCATGGCGAGAAAGTAGCCGTCGAATGGCGAACGTTGTTTCACAAAGCCTCGGAGGAGTTCATCTCCTCTTCAGAGATGATGTTCCGTACGCAATTGAAGGAATTCTATGATCATCAAATGATTGTGTCACGGACTGATGCCAGCGGAGTGGAAATGCTTGGAATCCCACTATCCAGACAAGAGATGGAAGGAGTTCTGGAAGATTTAATCATTGACTGAATATGATAATCGTACCACAACGTATTTTTTTTTTTTTTTTAACTTTTCTATAGCAGAAATCATATCCCACAAGCATACGATACCCCTTTTATTCGAGAAGAACGTGGTCGAAAACACAATTTTACCATACGATTGACGAAAGACAACGGCGCCACATACTGTTGTCTATTTTCGGTCCAGTAGCTAAAACCCATTGCAGGATCTTGCAATCTTGGGCTATTATTTTCAGCAGTTCTTAAAACTGCGCAAACGCAGCCAACATCATCATGGTCCCAAAGCTAAACTTTGAACGGGACGTTCTCGGTCAGAAACCGTTGCAAATTCGCAGATCTGACATGCTCCCGCAACCAGCGCGTGGGGACGACGTTGTAGCCCTTGGAAGCTGCCCACTAATAATTGAATACCAAAAACCCCAGAGTCAGCGATCACACATGAGATTCACAAGTCAATCCTAGAACTGGGGATTTTAAATAAATAATAATAAGAATAATAAATAAATAAATAGTCATAATCCTACCTCAACCCCCAACACCGTGAGCCCCAGCGCAAACACCAGCGCCCTCGAAAATATCCTCAACCCAAGGCCCGCAAGCAATCCCAACACGCTTCCTAGACTAAGCTGCCGGACGGTATTCTCGTTGATTCCTCCGCGACTGTGGATCCCGCACTTTGTTTTGGGCACAGGGCTGCTACTGTAGTGCGAATGGCTAGTGGTGGCGAAAGGGCCTGCGAAGTCGCAAAGAATGGGCTGTTGTTTCGGGAGGGCGAGGGAGAGGGATAGGCCCAGGGGGGCAGCGAAGAGGAAAGGTCTGGCGGCGGGGGTGAGAAAGCGGGTGAGGAACGGGGCGGTCATCTTTTTGTTTTTGTTTTTGTCTTTTTTTCCCCCCTAGTTAAGCTGTGTGTATGTGTTCAAGAATGGGATGTTGGGTGTTCGATGCACGGTCCCAGGATTGCCGAGCTGGACCGTTGATTGGCGCAGATGGAACGGTGCTGATGTCATCGGCGAGGGCGGAGGTGGATTTAGGCTTTTTTAGACTCGGCTGGATAACGGCAGCCTTACTCGATATGGCTTAGACGGATCAAGTCTCCAACAAACATATTCCTTGGGAACTGGTCAATGTGTGATATCAAGAGTGAACATTCAAATTGCCAACGAGTATTTCAACACCACAGGGCTTCTGTACAAGTCACAATCCGTACTTTTCTTGTAAATCCGAATTCTATCCACATGTTTTCCGACCCGATTGAAGCCTGAAAGCAATTTCCTCATCTGCTCACTTCACCAATCAGCAAACAATATCAGCCATCTCCGAAACCAGAAGCCGTCCCCTCTAATTGGGTCCACGTGGTATGTCCGTTCCACTACAATAGCATGCATTCCTTGTAGTCTGTCTTCAACTCATCATAGACCACAACACAAAATCCCATTCAAACATCTAACTACAAACCCTCCTTCTTTCATTCCTAATCCTTTTCAGTGAAGGAGAGTATTCATTAGCTCGATCCCACATATACGGCGGCTTCCACATCCACACATATCCCAAACCCTAACATAAACGTCTTGTACAGATCACAAATGATATGGCCAGCAGCCATGTGATCCAGCAGGATTGTAAAGACCTGCTTCCAATCTTTGCCACCTACCTGCTTCATGTATGGTTGATCTAAGATCCTGATTTGGAGCAAACATATGGATGAATATAGTGGCAGTGGTGGGGGCCAAATTTAGTGGGCGCAAGAGTTGGGGTAGTGGCAAATAGCTACCTGCAATGTCTTAAGGAATATATCTATCCTGGCCAGAACGTTCGACCATGCTGCCTGATTGTAGTGGGTGTTTGGCGTGCATGCGACTGGTTTCGCAGAATCTCATAATTGAAGTACTAGAAGCGGGACATGGATTGGATACTATTAGTTTTAGGAATATTGAAGTAACGTATCCCGGGAGGTAGTGGTTGGAGCTAGCCGCAAATGGTGATCGTTGAAGGGTCACAGTGAGAGCTTTGTACCATTCTCGACAATTCTTCACATCCGTAATGAAACAGAGGCAAGAAATTGGTCAGCTGTGTTAGAACGCTGATTTCCACATCTCATGGTTATCAGAACTGAGAACCGACCCGATAGGTGGAACAAATAGAGAGAGAATGGAATTTGGCCCGCCAGTGGATGCAGGCACGGGACCTACTTCGATTGCACAGGTCGCCAATATCAAAAACAACGCCTGCAATGTTGGAGAGTCGGAAGATTGCCAGACAGGGCAATCCACTGTTCTGTTCTATCTCCTAACGTTGATTCTCTCAGGATAATGTCTTCGCCAAAAGAGTTTCCAGCTAACCCCGGGAGGAGCGGCCAATAAGCAAACAAGTATGTTTGCAGACAAGTGCATGGACCCGCGCTTGGATCAACCTATCCCTCCCCAAATAGCGATAAGTCGCAACGGTGACAGGGCGCATGTCTTCCAATTCT